TTTAAAGAAATGGTCTAAACCAAAACCAAAAACAAACTCCGTAGAGTCAATTCAACTCAGCAATCCCTCCTTGGGTTTCCAAGGCAGTATCTCTATGGAAGTAGATTGCCCAATCTTCCTTCTGAGGAGTGGCTGGTGGTTCAAACCACCTCTGACTGAACTGAATTGTGTCTCCCTGTCCATCTCCATAGGACCTCTGGTGGCATAGTGTCTAAGACATTTGACTGCTAACCAGAAAATGGGCAATGCAAACGCACCAGCCACTCCATGGAAGGAAGACCCAGCAAATGCCTTAGGCACTATGCCACCAGAGCTCCTGTAAGCAAGGTCACCAATCATTATATCTAGAAACTGTGGAAGAGGAGCAGGTGTCGATATGGGCATTTTCACCAAAAAAAAAAAAAAAAAAAAAGAAAAGAAAAGTGTTTCAGGCATTTAGCAACTGATATGCCCTATCAGGTATCTCTATGAGGGGAATGACAGAATGGGGCTCATCATCCTGGAAAAGGTAAGGCATACTGGCTGACTTCAAATATCTGAAGGGAATAGTGACCAGTGTTACTCAGTGTGACTTTAACAGGAAAGGACGAGAAGTGCCAAGACCTCAGCTCAGCCTGGAGGTTAATATCCAACACTCAGCTGTCTTACCAGAAAGTCTACGTCAAGGCAGTTGTGGTGGTTACGTTTGTGTGTCAACTTGGCTGGGCCTGGTTGAGTGGCTGGGCAGCTGGATGTAGTTATTCCCCATGGTGAGATTAGTAATTAACTCCATGGTGGAATCTATTGGAGCAGCTGAGGGTATGTGGGTAGCTGCTTTGGGTGTGTGGTTGGTTTCCTATATATAAGCAGCAGCTTTGGGAATGGTCTACAGCTTATGGCATGCTTGAACCCTCCATATAGCTGAGTCGTTGTTCAGCAGCCTGCCATGCTCTGCCAAACTTGGGACTTTCAATGGACTTGAATTGACAACCTGCTGTGTGGTTTGGGAACATCACGGACTGTACCTTTTTATTTGTCAACCTTGGGCTTGTTAGCCTCAGCAGCCAGTAGCTGCTTGAGTGAAGAGATGCCTCTAGCTTCAGTGGGCTGGGAACAAGAGGCAGAGCTGAAGTCCAAGACTGAGGGGCTTTCACCCAGCCCCTAGAGCCTGACACTTTGAACTTGGACTTTTAGCCTCCCAAACTGTAAGAGAATAAATTTCTGTTTCTTCAAGCCATCCCTTTTGTGGTACATTCCTGTCAGAGTGGCACTAGGTAGCCCAAACAGCAGCGAAGCGTTCAGGCAGTAGGGAAGACGGCCACTTGGTAGAGAGGTTGCAGAGAGAGTTCCTGTTTTAGATGGGAGGTGACTGCTTCAAATTTTCTTTTAAACTCAAGAGCCACTGATCCTAAGAAAAGATGCATTCTAGGATCCTCAACAATTTGTTTTCTCTAGGTTGGGAAACCCTCTTTTTTGGGAAAGGTATCTTGTCTTCATTGCCACCCATCTGTCGCTTTGTCCTACTATGGTGGCTTACGTGTGGCTATGAGGTTGGAAGCAATGTCCTAGATATTTCAAAGAGCAGCACGATCAGCCATGGTTGATGAGTTTCAGTGGAGCTTTATTAGCCTATGAAAACCCGACGGATCACAACAGAACACTGTCCAGTATAGTGCTGGAAGATGAGCCCCCTAGGTTGGAAGGCACTCACAATACTCAGTGGCTGCAACAATGAACTTGAACATAGAATGATGATGAAGATGGTGTAGGGCAGGGCTTGTTCTGCTGATTATGGGGTCACTGTGAGTTGGAGCTGACAGCAATGGCAAATAACAGCAATCTTGTCTTCAGAATGCTAAGTTTTAATCCCACCTCTGCTGTCAGAAGGAAACAGCAGCTTGTTTACCATTGGTAAACTAGTGACAATCAGTTGATCCAATTGGCCCCCTCTCATTGGAAAGCTGAGAGCAAGCCTGCTTTCAGGGATGGTGTCCCAGCAAGGATGGCCTCAAGGATGATAGCTCTGGGACAAAAGGATGGAGATGGACCAAAACAAAAAACAAAAAAAGTCACTGCCATCGAGTTGATTCTGACTCACAGTGACCCCCTTTTGGGTTTCCGAGGTGGTAAATCTTGACAGAAGTAGATTGCCCAGTCTTCCTTCCACAGAGTGGCTGGTGGGTTTGAAGTGCCAACCTCCTGGTTAGCAGTTAAATGTCTTAGGCACTGTGCCACCAGAGGTCCAATGGAGATAGACAGGGGGACACAATTCAGCTCAGTCAGAGGTGGAGCTGCTTTTGGGCGGAGCAGGGCACTGAATTCCTCCAATCACAGGAATTAGGACATTGAGGACTTGGCTGTGTTGGGCTAGTTCTCATCTGGAAACTCTGCAATTCCATTTCTATGTCCCCCATTTGGTAAAAGCGTTGCTTTCCACCACCATTTGTCCCCACTAGTCACTGCTCTTGGGACAGACACCCATAGGAGCCCCAGACCCTTACTTAGCTCTCTAAGGCCAGTAACTGGATCCACATTATTTACTGCTGAACTCCCTCCTCACTGGAGTAGCACCTGCCACATGGAAGGCACTCAGTAAAAACTTGCTCCTATTCAGTGAATATTTATTAAGCATGTGCAATATGCCAGGTGTTTGGTACACACTGAATAACAAAACAGCAACATGGGTAAGATCCCTGCCCCATGAAGCTCATGACCTAATAAGGGATATAATTTTTTTTTTTTTTTAAAGTTATTATGATCTGAGCTAAGTGCAACGATGGAGATGACTAGGAGATGAAAGAGCGTATTCAGGCTGGGTGGCGAGGGAAGTCCTCTCTGAGCAGGTGACATTCAAGCAGATGTGTGAAGGACGAGAAGAGGAAGAGCTATGTGGAGAACTGCAAGAGTAAGGCGGTGCCTGGCAAGAAGCTCTCCTTGTGGTTTGCTGGCCAAGGGCAAGAAGGGGCAGTGAGCGTGATGACAAAGAGCAAGCTGCTGTCCCCAGTCAGCACCTGTGGGCACCAGGCCAATGCAAGAATGATGATCAGTTTTCCAAACAACCCTTGCTAGTAGGACTCATATCCCCATTTTACAGGGCAGAAAACTAAGTCTCAGGGTGGGCAGGTCCCAGCTCAGTGGTATCACTAGAGGGGTCTGGGGATGCAGACCACACTGGGTCACACTGCCAAAGGGACTGACAACAAAATGACTGTCTATAAAATTTTGGGGCAGTGTTTCAGCAGAAATTCGTTATTTTTTAATGAAAAACCCCTGTAGTTAAACAACAAAGACGTTTTTCATAAGCCCGGTCTACACATATCAATATAAGTACAAGCTAAAACTCGGGGCTCATTGACATTTTAAACCTTCGACTGTGTCCCAGTTAGAGCTGTAATTGTCACTCAATGACAGTTCTTCTGATCACATGGCTTTGTCCCCACACACTACACAAGCAGTTTTTGTTGCTGCTGGTGTTTTTATAGTCGCTGATTTTGTCAAATTTTCTGGTGTTTTCACTGCAATATTGTAGTAATTAGTATCTGTGAACCCATATCAATAACTTCTTTGAGAATGAAGGAGTAATTAAAGGAAAAGAAGAAATAACAAAACAGGCTCCTGCTCACGTACTAATAATGCTGATTGGGCTTCAGCACAGGTCATTTGGCTCAGAAATGTCTTGTCTCTCTAGCTCTGCCCATGCCGGCCCACACCCAGGCTTTGTAAGGTGCTGCATCCCTTGCACACAGATGCTTTGTGAGCCCAAGTGGTCAGCGCCCTTGGGGGGCCATCAGCATTGCCGTTGGTGATCAGGAGGGTCTCCGTTCCAGAGTGTTGGCTTTTAAGTCAGTAAATTGTGGGTTTGGGTCCAAATCTACCACTCACTGTGCCGTCAGTAACTTACCCACTCCTGACCTCAGTTTTCTTCTCTGTAAAATGAACATACTGATATCTACCTTGAAGGGTTTCATAAGGCTCCAGGAAGCCAAGGAAAGGAAGAGCTAGCACATAGTGTACTCGCTGTCCTTCATTTCTTGCCTAGAGCACAAGTAGAGTTGAGTGGTTAAGATTATAAAGCTCTGAAGCAAGACTGCTCAACTGCACTGCTGTGTGACCTTGGGCAAGTCTCTTAACCTCTCTGTGCCTCAGTTTCCTCATCTGTAAAAGTACTATGATGATAGAACCCACTTCATAAAGATACCATATTCCACTGCTGAGTCTCCGTGTCCAGAATGGGGTCTGACATGGAGTAGCTCCTCAATAAACAGAGTGGATGAATGAGAAGCTGAACACAGCCCCTGGCACACAATAAGCATCAGCAGATATTAGCCATTATTCATTATGTTCTCATCATTATTCTGCCTCCCTGGGGTATGTCCCCTCTGGCGAGACCAAGGTCCTTCCCACCTGGCATCTTTCCCTTTAGTTTTCCATTTCTCTTCCACGCAACCCTTTAGGCTGGCTGACCTGGATATAATCAGGGCCTCCTTCCAAAGTCCATCTTCCAAACCCCACAGGCCATCTGGCCACTGGGCTTTACACACACACACACACACACACACACACAGAATCAACAGCTCTGCAGCAGACTTCTAAAGCAGAAGAGAAGTGCTTTCCTGTGAACTAAGGGTTTTGCTACTTACTGTTCAGTTTGAATTCTGTCAATTATTATCCAACCGGTGTTATCTGTGCAGAGGTGGGGCTGAATTTGATAAACAGCGTATGTGTGTGTTTGAGGATGTGAGTGTGTTGTACGTGCAGGGGGTAGGTGGGGGGTGGGGCCCGGAACGTGAAGAGGAAGTGCGCTGGTATTTATGACAGATTGCATACCAGTTGAAACTACCCACTGGGAATTTGTGCCTGTGTAATATGCTTAATCCCTGCTCATTCAAACTGTGCCAGAGGGCTGTTCTCTCCACCTCCCTTCTTGCCTCCCCATTCATATAACCCAGGTCCCCTCCTACCAGCCTCTGCCCACTGGAGCCGCTGGTCCTGACTCGTGGAGGTGCTGCTGGTGGCTAGGAATGAGTGCTTTCTGCTCGGAACCGGCAGCACGGCTCTGCCTGGCTGTCACTGCAGTGCTAGGCGGAGCGGTTTTCTACAAACTGAGGAACAGCCCGGGGCAGGTGGGGACCCGTGCCATCTGCCTGGTGGGCCTCTGGGGAGGCATCGGGTTGCTCAGCTCGTCCCTCTGCTGGGGCCTGGCTCTCTTCTGCCTGTCCTGTCTCCTCACCTACGTGTACTTATCTGGCCGAGAGCTGTTACCTGTGGGTGAGAAGGCTGTACTGATCACAGGTAAGTGGTCACGCTGCGGTTCCTAACGAGGGCGGAATCTGGGATCTGGGTTTGCCTTAGCGGCGTGCTGTCAAATGCGGCTTGAAAATCCAGTGTCGGGCATGGGTGACACGGAAGCACGTGCCCAAGTGATTTTCTGACATTGCTTTGGTGCCCCCTGACAGGGCTAGTGGTGAGAGAGGACAGACAGTGAAGTGTCCCGAGGCAGGGATTTTGCTTATTCTCCAGGCATACATATGAGTAAGTGGTTAAGAGTGCCGTTACACAGGCTTTGCTGCACCCAGGATGCCCTAGAGGTTTCTTCAGGCTTAAGCACGATTTCATTCTGAGATAAATTTGGAACCAGGTTCTAATCTGGGCTCTTCTTCCCTAGGTATGTCAGGCAGCCACACAACGCCGGGCTGTCTTTGTTCCTCGCTGTGGTATTCATACACTGCAGACACTCCGTGGGGCTGGAAACTGCAGTTTGCTGGCTTCTGGGGAGAGTGTGTACCTGCTCATTGGAGCCCTTCTTCTTCAAGTCCATCACTGGACTGCTAACGATTCTTAATGGGATCAACCTGGTGGTGCTTCTGGGGTTGCTTGTTGCCAGACTGCTACATTTTTCCTTCTTTTGTGTTTTTTCAGCTGTTAAGTGTGAGGCTAGATTAAAATTCTTTTGAGTTGTAAAATGGTTTGCTTGGTTGTGAGCAGTTTGACTTTAGTTGGACTTCCATTAGGATTATCAGGCATTATGCTAACCCCAAAGCCCTGCCAAGGTAAGGGCATTGGCCATGGAATCATTGGCCAAGTCAGCACCCCCTGGCTGAGTGCTGCTGGGGGGGAAGGCAGACATGGGATGCAGCGGGGGGCAAAGCAGGGTGTTGGGACAATTCACAGAGAAATAAACTCGAAAGTGACTTATTCTTTTCTACCACTGACTTTAACTCTTTAACAATATTCTTTCTTGAAATGAAATGCAAGTTGATGCTTGTAGATTTTGGAAAGCTACAGAAAACAAGCTTCCTTAATAAAATACAACAAAACAACCAGTCCAGAGGTGGAAGTTTCAGGCAATCCTGGGATGTGCATTTCCATGAACGTTTGATGTCACTGGAATCTGGAAGACTGGCTGGGTTTTTACTTTTTCATTAGAATTCCTGGGTGCCCACAAACTGGGTGCAAAGCTGTGATAATAGTCTCGATTGTTCCTTTGACGTACAATTGCAAGCACTCATGACTCCAGAATAAGTCCAGGTCAAGTTGTTTTTCTTGTGCTTTTTCCATTTGGATGAGAGAAGACAGAACGGTAGTAAGCAGGTTAAAAAAAAAAATTATAATAATGATGTTGTGGTTGGCACTACTGGGACATCACCTCCCGGAGGTCAAATACTCCTGGGAAATCAATTACAGGCAGCAGCACTTCCAGGGTTAATAAATGAGAATGTTTAACCTTAGGATAAGCCCAGGCAAACCTCAGGGTCCCTGGAGAGAACAGGAACCTTCTCATGCTTGCTTGCCTCTGCTTTGAAAGATGAAGGCATGCATAAAGATGCGCAAAGCACACCCCCAAATCAGAGTGAGGCCAAAGCAGGCACTGCAATGTACTGAGCTGTGTTTGGTGTCAGGTAAGATTCAAGCCCAGTGACTAATCCCTAACCAAAGTGTTTCACGATTAGAAAGCTAGTGAGACGCAGGTCTCACTACATATATTTCTAGGTGACTGAAATGTCATTTTCAGGTTCTTTGTCATTGCTGCAAGGAATGCCATCAGGTCATTGTAGTTCTGCAGATGGTCACAAGACCTTTGTGCTAAAAATTTTAAATAAACTAATTTAGTTAGGACAGAACTAATTAAATGAGAAACAACCCTGACCTCAAATAACCTCTGTTTCAAGGTGGCCTTTGTTTATAAATTGGTACATATTTTTTTGGGTGGACGGGTGTGTAGGGATAGGGAAGTAATTTTGTGTACATCAAAATCCATAAATAGTCCTTTACCCAATAATTCTATTTCTGGAAATTTCTTATAAAGATATAATCTAAAATATGGGGGATAAAAAGGTAGCTGTAAAACAAAATGGATTATTCTCAAGATTGTTCAGCATATTGTTATTATTTAAAGTAATGAAATATCAAAAGCAACAAAAATGGTTGTAAATGCAATATGTCCTCAGGATGCACTAGTGTAGAGCCATTAAAAATGCTAGCCACAGGCCTGCATCACAACATGGGAAACGGCACAAGAGTACAACATGTCAAATGCACAGGAAGACATGGGAAGGAAATCATTTGAAATGGTCACATTACAGTTCTTGGCTGTTTTTTCTCCCCAGTTTTTCAAATTTCTCTTGTGTGATCATATTAATTATATAATAAAATACTTATGAGAAAGAGATAGCATTATAAGAATAAAGTCTCTTTTAGTTTATATTTAATTATGGATCTAACTGTAGACAAATGTCTACAACAAGAAAAGACTTTGTTATTTTTCTTTGAATCCGTATATTGCTACAATGCAAAGGGGGAAGAAAATGGAAAACAAAAACAAAAACAAAAAACACCATGCCACTGTTAGGTCCCTGACTGATGGCATGGAAGGTTTCATTTTTGCTGACCTTTAATCCACATTGCTGGAATTCCTTCCTCCTCTGTCCTCACTTGGAGATGCAAAGGTTACTTCAGTTTTCTGCACCTAAGACTTTCCTCCTGGTCTCAGCACTCTTTCCGGCCCATCTCTCGTGATGAATGATTGAGATTCACTGTTTTTCAGGGCCCACACTTAGGGCTTTCTCAGTACATTGGGGAGACACAGCTACCATCCAACTACAGCTATATGACAGGAGGCCCTCCCAGGAGGACCACAACATGCTGAGTGTGGGTGTCCCTCCATGCACGGGAGCTGGGGAGGTTTAGCAAAGGAGGGGTCTTGTTAAAAGAGTGGCTTTCTAGGAAGAAAAAAACACAGAATTAAACCCAGTGCTGTCAAGTCAATTCCTACTCATAGCGATCCTACAGGACAGTAGAACAGCTCCACAGGGTTTCCAAGGCTGTACTCTTTGCAGAAGCAGACTACCACATTTTCTCCCACAGAAAGGCTGGTGTGTTCAAACCCCTGACCTTTTTGGTTAGCAGCCAAACATTTAACCACTATGCCACAGGGGCTCCTCCTCTAAGAGAAAAGTGGGAAGGTAGTCCAGGCTCATTGACCAAGTAGCTACTATGCTACAGCTTGCTTTTGCTGTGGTTAGTTGTCAGCTCCAAATCATGGTGACTTTCTGTGTGACTGACTGAAACCTGGCCTGGTCCTGCATCATCTTCAAGATCATCGGTATGCTTGAGTCCGTCGTCTCAGCTATTGTGTCCACTCATCTCATTGACGGTTTCCCTCACTTTCATTGGCCCTCTACTAAACAGGATGTCCTTTTCCAGTCATTGGTCCCTCCTGATTACACAGCTAGGACTCAATAAAGCTTGTTGAGTTGGATCATTTTTTGTTGGAATTTTCAAAGCTAGGTACAACAGAGGGTGGATCAGGGAGAGGAAGTGAGTCTCATTTAGGCTGAGGTCTTTATTTTATGCTTCCTGATAAGGGTGCAAATCAGAAGGCTGGTGGTTCAAACCCACTAGCCACTCCCTGGAAGGAAGATTTGGCAATCCACTTCCATAGAGGTACCACCTGGGAAACCCAAAAGGGGGCCACTATGAGTTAGAATTGACTTGACAGTAGTGAGTTTGGTTTTACAGTTTGATAAGGGTCCAAGATGATTGTGACCCATTTGGAGAGTTAATAAATAGTCCAATTAGAGCTCTAAAGTTGAATACCACTGGCATCATCTTGAGACTTGGGCTCCTAAGAAAAGTAACCTCTCTGTTTAGAGTTTTACATACAATTTCTATATGATCCTTACAGTCCTAATAACATACACATACACCTTTCTAACTTTTTTTTTTTATTGCCATTTGGGTGAAAGTTTACGGAGCAAATCAGTTGTCCATTCAACAATTCACAAGCATACATTTGGTTCCATGACGTTGACTGCAATCCCCACAATGTAAGAGCACTCTTCTACTCCCTCTCATGTTTCTCCCACTTCCATTCATTCTTCTTTCCTATCTATCTCTTGCTGCCTTCTGAGCTTTATCCCTGGGCAATGCTACCCTTTTGATCTGGGACTGACTGTTCTAAGGAGTGTGTAGATCCCTGGTGCTGACTCATAGTGACTCCTCCTTGGGTTTCTGAGGTGGTATCACTATGGAAGTAGATTGTGCCATCTTCCTTCTGAGGAGTAGCTGGTGGGTTTGAACCGCCAGCCTTCTGGTTAGCGGTCAGGTGCCTTAGTCAGTACAGCAGCAGAGCTCCTGCTCACCTTATAGGCCTACGTGTTGCTTGGGTGTAAGTTGAGCCACAGGGGTGAGTTCAGTTCCAGCCTTGAAGAGTGCCTAAGGGCCACAGTCTTGGGGTAACACAGTCTCTATCAGACCAGTCATCTTGGTCTTCTTTTTTATGATTTTGAGTTTTGTTCCACATTTTTGTCCCACTCTACCCAGGACCTCCTACTGTGATCCCTTTCAGAGTGGTCAGTATTGGGAGCCAGGCACTATCCATTTCTTCTGGTCTCAGGGTCATAGAGGCTGGGGTTTACATGCTCTATTAGTCCTTTGGAATAATTGTTTCCTCACATCTTTGATTTTCTTCACTCTTCTTTACTCCAGTGGGGAGAGAACATAGTTGCACCTTAGATGGCTGCTCACAGCTATTGAGATCCTAGCCATTACTCACCAAAATACGATCTAGAATATTGTCTTCGTGGACTATGCTATGCCTATTGACTTAGCTGTCTCCTGAGACTATGTTCCTGAGTCACCAGGTCCAGCAACACATTCTCTCAAGGTGTTTGTTTATGGTTAAGAAGCTTACATAATTTACGTTTTGTGAATGAGGAAACTATCAAAGAGCCAATACAACCCTCAACTACCCTAATGTAACCAGTTACCATGGAATCGATTCCTACTCATGG